TGGAGAATTAAGTTGGTTTTTTTTGGAAAACTGTTGTTCCAAATTGTGCCTTTTGGCTGTCTGCAGAAAGCAGTCTCATACGGTATGTATCCTATGTCATAGTTACTCCTCAGGCCGGTACTGCTGGTTTGAGGGCCTTGGGTGAATTCCTGTCCCTGGCTTAGTGAAATAATCTCTCAGAGGAAAATTCCAAAACTTAAGTGTTCCAGTTCAGAAAGAACATAAACTTACTTTCAAATCAAGACTGTGGGAGAAAGTAAATACGAAGGGGCCTCAAGTTTGTGGAAAATGAAATGAAAAGACACTGGGATTTTGACACTTAACTTTCTGAAGACCCCTTGTATAGCCTGAGGTTTTTAAGGAACAGGAAAGGAGTTGAAAGGAGAATATAAATGAGTTGGAAAGGGACAGTTAAAATTTTTTAATGCAAATAATTCAAAACTATTTGAGGAGACAAGAAACCTATAACCCATGCTGTCCAATTGCATAGGACTCACTGATCCTGTAGGATGGCCCCATAGGCTTTCCAAGGTGTGTGGTGCTGTAGGATAAGCACTGGACTTCAAGATCTGTTTTATCCGTAAGGTCAGCGGTTCAAACTCACTAGCCGCTCCCCGGAAGCCCTATACAGGGTCGCTGGGAGTCAGAACTGACTGGCTAGCACTTAAAACAAGAATCTTTATGGAGGAGACTTGGTGTGTGCTGTAGATCTGTTGTTAAGTAGTGTTGAGTCGGTTTGGACTGATAAGGACCCTGTATAGGGTTTCCGAGGAGCGGTTGGTGAGTTCGAACCACCAATCTTGCGATTCAAACCCACCTTGCGGTCAGTGCTGCTAACTGTGAGGTCAGTGGTTCAAATCCACACCAGCTGCTCCTTGGAAACTCTACACAGCGTCACTGTGTGTCAGAACTGACACGACGGAACAACAATCTATGGAAACATCTCCAGGTCATGCCAAGACCACCACTGTGGGTCCAAACACCGTCTTTCGGTAAATAGGGCAGCGCTTACCGTTTGTGTCGCCAGGGTTCCTTTCTTTTGGTAAACCAAAAAACCCACGGCCATCGAGTCAATTCTGACTCATAGCGACCCTATTTCCGAGGTTGTAAATCTTACCTGAGCAGAAAGCCACCTTTTTGACCCGTGACCTGTGTGGTTCACAACCCAATGCGTAACCCGCTACACCACGAGGGCTCCGTATTTCGGTAAAAAGCGTAGCACTCGATTAAACTTTGCTAATTCATCTTTTCAAATAGAAAATAATTGAACCACACAAAAGTAACTTCCAAGGTAGAAAAGGACTGAGCGCAGCGGGAAAGGTGGTGGCAGCCGCTGTCTGTTGTGCAAACCTAGCCCGAGGCGGCCGAGACCCACCCATCAGGTCCACCAGGCTGGCCTGGGCTGGCCGTGACTCACTTTGCTGGTTGCGCCAAGGTATTGCAACATCCGCTGCCTATTAAAGCCAGTCGTTGCGGGCAGCCACGGAGGCAGAACCCAGTTAGCAGCTGAAGTCCAACCATGGACGGGAAGCCTGTTCTGGACGCGAAGCCTGTTCGCTGCCGCGCAAGGAAAATACCGTGGCCGTCTCAACCGAAGCATCCTGCCCCGCGAAAGAGGTCTGCAGAGCGCAAAGGTGTGTGCCGGGAGCTCAGGTGTCTGCGGACGGCCGGAGGTGAGTTCGTGGGTCCCCCCCCCACCTAAGGACGCCCTACTCGGAGAGTCAAAAATGGAGGAAGGACATTCTAGAAGCTGCCGCCTTGTGGTGACTGTCACTGGGCCGGGCCTGGGCCGAGCCGCTGCCGGAGGGTGGTGACCACGGAAGTCTAGCTTACCGAGGTTCGGCTGTGCGTCAGCCACCGGTGCGCTTCCGGACTAGGGAGGAGCGGTGTTTGGGAGGCCCTGCCAGTCCCATCGCCACCATTTTACAGGTGGGGAAACTGAGGCTCGCGCAGGGAGCCCTAACCGTGTGAGTGTTCACATAGGTCCGGCCGATATCGGTTTCCCAGGAGCGCCCGGATTTCTGTAGGCCCAGTGGTTACGAATTGGACTGCGAAGCTTAAGGTCAGCGGTTCGAAACTAACAGCCGCTCCGCGGGAGAAAGATGAGGCTTTCTGCTCCCGTAAAGATTTACACCCTCCGGAAACCCTGTACAGGGTCGCGATGGGTCGGAACTGACTCCACGGCACTTAACAACAACAACAACAACAAACAGCTGCTATTCCTTTGTTCTTTCTTCCCCCAAATGGACCTGTAGTTAATTCTATATTTTGGAATTTTGAGCTCCTTTTCACTTTATGTCACAAAATCGTTTATCCAGTACAGTCCCATATACTGTGAAATTTTGCCCTTTATACGGTAATCTTTCCGTTGTCACGAACCCTGTTTTGATAGTATCCATTTCCACTTTTGCTCCCTCTTGGATCGCGTTGCTCAGGACATGTGTATGTGTATTATGGAAATAAAGACCAACGGATAAGGATGCAAAGAATATTTACTCACAGCTTGCTAATATCATAGCAAGGGAGCCAGCCAACGTCCCTTGTGTTGCGCAGAGGCTAGAAAGCAGATGAAGAGAAGGAAAGCTCTTCTGGTTAGATACTGGAGACCAGCTAAATACAAGTGGGACATGGTACAGGATTGACTTAGGACCGTATCTGACTTTCTCTCCTTGGTCCGGAGCTGAAAGCATAGACTTAAAAAAAAAATTTTTTTTTAAAGGTGAGGTGAGTTGACCATCATTAACCAACTCCTGACTTCTGGGCTGCTGGCAGCTGAGTTGTTGTTGTGTGCCGTGGAGTCGGTTCCAACTCATAGCGACCCTGTTACAAGGTTTCCGAGGCTGTAAATCTTTACGGGAGCAGAAAGCCTCATCTTTCTTCCACGGACCAGCTGGTAGTTTTGAACTGTTGACCTTGCGGTTCGCAGCCGGATTCGTAACCACTACGCTACCAGAGCTCCTTGGTAGTAGCTGAGAGTATGGTTCAATTTCCCGGGCTGATTGTCACTGAGTTTGTGGATCACAGTTCTATGGTTGTATATGATGTGGCCATTTGTCCATTTCTACATTTTAGTCTAGATGTGTCTCTTATCTGCATCTCTGAAGACCCAGAGGAAGCATGCACACTGCTAGTGCTCTGGTTTCTTAGAAAGGGAAGTAAATCTCATCCATGATGATTTACATTTATTTTGTGTTTGCTTTTAAGTTTCCATTTCTAAATCATTTGAAATTAGTGCGTCTATTGGGGGATTGTAGGAGTCTTGTAGTGCTTCCTAGACTGCAAGGTAGATTTGAACCACAAGATGGCGCCACTCCTCAGAAACCCTGTACCAAGCCGCTGTGAGTTGAAATTGACTCAGTGGTACTGAAGAACACCTTGGGGTTTTAGGTAGCTCTCTGGTTTACTATTTCTCGGTGCTTTATCCTTTGCATCTCAGGGCTGCCCTAGTGTTGGGTTCATGGGATGTGCTATGCCAGCCCCCGACTGCCTTTCCTAGACATGTTTGTTCTTGATCCTCATGGAGGCAGGCCCAAGTTGTTGTCCCTTTAGAACCTCTGTACGGAAGTGTCTTCTAAACTATTGCGTAACTGTTGTACTCACAGCTATAATTTTTACTCTTTTTAGCTAGCTGTCCTATCCCTCCCCTATCTCCTGACATCACTGGCCCCTTTCTGTTTCTGTAGTTCAGCCTATCCTGGACATCTTGTCATTACACACTGTGTGCCTCTGTATGACTGGTCCTTGTATATTTAGTGTAATGCTTTTCAAGTCACCCTGCACTGCAAGGTGTCTTTACACTTCAGTCTTTGTGTGGGTGGTTCACATTGTGTTTGTCCGTATTGTTGATGTACTCTCTCTGGCTATTATGAATAGTGTTGCAGTAAATCTTCATGTACAAGTTGGTTGTGTGTGGATGGTTCTTATCAGTTCTTGTTGGTTCGGGTCCAGTGCTGATGCTATAGCGCCACCCCTGGAATCCTGGGTCACATGGTAACTCTGCTTAACTTGGTGAGGTTTTTTTGTGTTTCAATCTCTGTCAAGCCTTTATATATTAATGGGCATATGCCAACCTCACTACCATACTGTAAACAAAGCACCTGCAGCATTTGACATTCTCGTCCACAGTATAAGAGGGTTCAGACTTCTCTACCTTGTAACTAGGCAGCATTTACCAGTCACCTTAATTGTAGGCACCACAGTGGTTGGGAAAGGAGCCCTGGCAATGAAACAGTTAATCACTTTGCTGGTAATCCAAAGGTGAAGAATCCAAACCCACCCAATATCTTGTCAGGACAAAGACCTGGCAAGTTTCTCCCGTAAAGATTGTGGGTGCTGCTGATTCCCTTGTGGTGTAAGTACCACTGCCCCTGATGTGGCACTGTGGGGTAATGTATTGGTTTGCAGAGTCGGGTTGAACCACAAGGTCAGCTGTCTGAGCTCACCAGCCGCTCCTCAGAAACCCTATTATACAGGGTCGCTATGGGTTGGAACCCACTCGACAGCACTTAACAAAAACAACCACGCTTCTTTTAGCTATCTAACTGTGTGCTAAGCGAGTCAGTTCCAACTCATAACGACCCTGTATAGAGTTTCTGAGGCTGTAAATCCTGATGGAAACAGGAAGCCTTGTCTTCTTCCGACAGAGTGGCAGGTTTAGCAGTTTGTGCCTTAGAGCTCCTTGTAAAGATGACAGCCTAAGAAACCTTATAAGGCAGTTCTCTTCTGTCACATGGGGTTGCCCAAGCCAGCACCACAGTACTTAGCAATCGTTGTTGTTGTTAAGTGCCGTCAAGTTGATTCTGACCCACAGCGACCCTGTATAGGGTTTCCGAGGAGCAGCTGGTGAACTTGAACCGCCGACCTTGCTGTTCAAATGGCTTTGCAGTCTGGCGCATTGATCCACAGTGTCATACCAGGACTCCTTAGCAGTAGGTGGTTGTAAAGTGGCATCTCATTGTGGGTTGATGCTGATTGGCTGTATTGCGCTGCTTCTTTCCTAGAGTGTTACGTGGCTCAGCTGGAACCTCACGAGAGCCCTCTCCCTTGTGGGGGCAGGGGTGAGAATCCTGTGGTCGTCGAGGTGCTCACACTGAACCAGGAGGTCGCCAGTTCCCGCAATGCCCAGATCCAGGCCCTGTATGCTGAAGACAGGGACCTAAGCTCAGAGCTCCTTGGGGAGCTTGCTGGACAGCCAGGTGAGCGACCTGTGGACCCTGAGATGCTCACACTGATCCAGGAAGTGATCCCTGTTCACAACACCCAGATCCAGGCCATCTATACTGATGATGGGGTCCCTCAGATCCAGGCCCTCTCCACTGAAGACGGGGACCTAAGCTCAGAGCTCCCTGGGGAGCCTGCTGGACATCCTGTGAACCCCGAGGTTTTCACACAGGACACTCAGAGCCAAGCTGTGTATACTGAGGATGGGAGCCGACGCTCAAAGCTCCTCGGAGAACCTGCTGCAGAGCCAGGTGAGCACCCTATGGACCCTGAGGTGCTCACACAGAACCAGGATGTGAGCCACGCCCACAACACCCAGATCTGGGCCATATATGCTGAAGACAGGGGCCTAGTCTCAGAGCTCCCTGGGGAGTCTGGTGGACCACCAGGTGAGCACCCTGTGGACCCTGAGGTGCTCTCACAGAACCCGGATGTGAGCCCTGCCTACAACACCCAGATCCGGGCCATCTATGCTGGAGACAGGGGCCTAGTCTCAGAACTCCCGTGGGAGCCTGCCACACAGCCAGACCAGCGTTCAGCAGATTCTGAGGCTGCTCGTCAGAACTTCCGGCAGTTTTCCTACCAGGTGGTGACAGGTCCACAGAAGGCCCTGGCCCGGCTGCGTCAGCTCTGTCACCAATGGCTGCGGCCCGAGCTGCGATCCAAGGAGCAGATGCTGGAGCTCCTGGTGCTGGAGCAGTTCCTAAGCTCCCTGCCCAGAAAGCTCAGGACGTGGGTAGAGTCACAGCGCCCAGAGAACTGCCAGGAGGCGGCGGTTCTGGTAGATGTTGTGACTTGGATACCCACGGAAGAAGGTGGGTATGTCGGGAGGGTTCGGGTAGGGCAGCTACCTTTCGGGAAAACGCCAGTCTTCCTGGGACTAGGTGTGTGTGCTCCCCATGCGGCCCCACATCAGAGATTTAGACGCTTTCCTTGATGATGGGCCTGCTGCTACCTCTAAATCAAGGAGTCTGAAGGCCCTCGTCCCTGGACCCATTTCATTTGTTTGGAGATGAAAGTTTTCAGTTCCTGTTCCAGATTGTCTTGGTTTTCTAGTGCTGCAAAAACAGAAATCCCTCATGTGGCTCCCTTTAAGACCCAAATCTATTTATTATCTACGGTTTAGAAGGCGACAAGTCCAAGGTCAGGGTCCAGGTCTAGAGGAAGGCTTTCTCTCTTTCCTGTCCACTTTGGGAGAAGGTCCTTGTCTCTTTTCAGCGTCTGTTTCTTGGTTACTTAGAGACCCGTGTAGTGTGGCATCTTATTCCCCATCTTTACTTACTTAACATACTGCTTTATGTATATGGACTCCAAATATACCTTACACTGACTCTGCCTTTAACGTAGTCACGGAAAACCCGTGCTGAAGTGAGCTGATCGCCACAGGTCCACACAGATACCTTATTTTATTGGCACTTCACTGCACAGATAGTGTGGGTTTTTAATTTAAATTGAAGGTTTTGACAGTGCCGTGTTGAGCAAGTCTATCGGCACTGTTTTTCCAGTAACAAGCTCATTTCATGTTTCTGTTTCATATTCTGGTAATTCTCACAGTATTTCAGACTTTTCCACAGTGCTGTTGTGCACTTAATAACTACCAACCCCACTGCCGTCGAGCCAGTTCTGACCCATAGTGACCCTGTCTAGGGCTCCCAAAGCTGTACATGTTCACAGGAGCAGAAAACCTCATCTTTCTCCTACAGAGCAGCTGGTGCGTTTAAATTGGCGTTCTGGTGTGGTGCTGCGGGTTAGTGTACTACAGGGTCAGTTTGAACCGCGAAGTTGGCAGTTCAAGCTCACCAGCCACTCCTTGGAAACCCTGAATAAGGTTGTTATGAGTCGAGACCATTCTATGGTACTTAACAACAATCCGGCGGTTAGCAGTCCAATGCTTATCCTACAGCCCCTACCCCCAGAGCTCTTTAATAGTCTATGTTGCTGTTATGTGCCGTCGAGTCAGTGTCCACACTTAGTGACCCTGTACAGGGTTTCTGAGGCAGTAAACCTCTACTATGGGAGCAGAAAGTCTCATCTTTCTCCTGCAGAGCAGCTGGTGGGTTTGATTGAAACGCTGACCCTAAGGTTAACAGCAGGTTAACCCACTGCTCCACCAGAGCTCCCTTAATAGACTAAAATATAGTATAAACATAACTTTTATATGTACTGAAAGACCAGAAAGTTCTTATTTTCAGTATTGCACTATTTGGAATGGTCTAGAACTGACCTCTCTGAAATATGCGTCATCGCTGAGTCAGTTCCAACTCACGAGGACTCTAAAGGGTTAACTGGGCTCCACCTCATAGTGTTTCCAAGCCTGCATTCTGTACAGGAGAATACTGCCTCGTCTTTCTCCCAGCGAGCTGCCAGTGGGTTCGAACCACCGACCTTTCAGTAGGCAGCCGAGCCCTTAACCACAGTTCCACCAGGACCGCTTTCCCACAGGTGAAGGAGTTACACTTTACAACACACATTTTTTTTTTAAGAAGGGGGAAGGGCACAGTTTAATCCATAATGCAGAGCTACTGAGCTCGGACAGAGGGGCCACCGCTGCCTTCTCGTGGGTAAAGTGCTTCTCGTCTTCCTTTGGGATGAGTGGACTCTGCTTCACCGTGAGCAAACAGAAAACTGGGTTTAGACAACGCATGCGTATACATGGGACCCCTGGTGTGGTGCTGCGGGTTAATGCACTGGACTGCAAAATCAGTTTGAACCACGAGGTCAGTGGTTCAAGCTCACCAGCTGCTCCTCAGAAACCCTATACAGGATTGCTATGGGTCAGAACCGACTCAGTGGCACTTAGCAACCACAACCACATACATGGAGTTCCGTCCAGTGTCAGGATCTCGTCAGGTTGTACGTCAAGATAGGTCCCCGGGTGGAATACATGGATTACATTTACCTACTGACCTCAGCTTGATGATTTGAAGCCAGCCAACAGTGTTGCAGAAGTGCCTGGCCGTCTTCCAGCAAGATCACAGCCATGGGAACTCTGTGGAGCAATTCTGTTCTGCAACACACAGGGTCGCCTGGAGTCGGAAACCCCTGCAAACAATAGGCTTTCTTTCGGGTTTTTTGTTTTCTTTTATTTTTTGCATAAAGTGGTAACTCAGAAAGAAGGGAGTCCTGTGATTGCAGGGTGCGGACCCAGCTGGAGAGACAGGTGTGTGATAGATAAACATGCAGGCGACATGTACCAGGGTCACCAGGCACTGAAGGTGCTGACGGGACTCATGGAGGACAAGTTGCTGCCTCCGGCATTAACGTCTTTGAGTGGAACAGAGCTGGGGGACACTGGGCACCCAACAAGGGTGGCATCATCTGAGAAAGTCCCACAGTGGCCATGCTGACTTAGACATGGAGGGGGAGGCAAGCAGTGCTGCAGTGGAAGGAAGCCCCACCCCCGTGCCCCTCCATCTCCTGTCTGCCCGTGGCCGAGTGACCAGGCCAGCCAGGCTCCTGTCAGCCTTGGGGACCCTGCATTCTAAGGGGTCGTGGCATCATCTGACTTGAGCTTTAAAGTTTCCCCCAGCTGTTGTGTATGGTCACAGTCCTGGTGGCACAGTAGGTTAAGCGCTGGGCTGCTAACTGAAGGGTCAGTGGTTTGAGTCCACCGGCAGCTCCGTGGGAAGAAGATTTAAGTCTCGGAAACCCTGTGGAGAGTTCTACTCTGTTCCATGGAGCCCAGTGAGTGGAGTTGACGAGGCCGCCATGGGTATTTGTTGTTAGGTGCTGTGGAGTTGGTTCCGACTCACAGGGCCCCTTGTACAACAGAACAAAAGCCTGTCTGGGCCTGAGCTGTCTTCATGCTCTCATGTCTGAGTCCATTGTTGCAGCGGCCACTGTGTCAGTCCATCACGGTCAGGAGCTTCCTCTGTCTCGCTGACCCTCTCCTTTCCCAAGCGTGCTGTCCTCCAGGGACTGGGTGGCATCAAGTCTTAACCTCCTGGATTCTCAGGAGCTTTCTGGCTGCGCTTCTTCCAAGACAGATTTGCATCCCGTTGTAAGAGATCTTTGGACTACATAGGACCGCATGGGGAAGGTCGGATGTGAGCGATCCTTGGTTGGAAGTGGACGTGGGGTCAGGGCCAGACTTTACTTTCTGAGGTGTGGAAGACATGAGAGAGGGTCAGGAGAAGGGTAGATGGCCTTTAGGACTGGAGACAACAGAGCCACAGAGAGAAGTTCCCTATCGGGAACAGTGGGAGGAAGGAAGGACGCAGAGGTTGGAGATGGGAAGTTGCCTCTAAGGAGGAGAAGGTAGACAGGCTAGCTGCAGGCTTGAGTTCGTATTTGGGAGAGGGTGGGAATGGAGATTTTCAGGGTCAACATCAGGATGCAGGTGTGTGCCAGACCCTCAGAGTCACGGTAAGACAGATGTGTGTCCCTCACCCTGACTGAGCAAGCCTGGGAGAGGCTGGGCTGTGGGTAGCACCGATGGAGATAGCACCTGGATCTAGCCTTACCTGATGCCTACCCTTACTGCTCCTCAGCTCTGCCATTCCAGGGCCCCACCTCGTCTCCGGAGATCACTGATAGGCAAGAGAAAATACAGGAGGAGGAAGTGGCTGACTGTCCAGCAAAGGAGCTGCCTGAGGTGAGTTCTTGGGTGTCAGGATCCCTGTGCAGTGTGTCCACCCCCAAGGTATCCCTCTGGCTTGGGTGGCTTTCAGGAAGGACACAGTGAGGTAAGAGGGAGGGGGATCTGGTATTTGTAAATGGCTTGAGAGAAGGAGCAACGAAAGGCGGCTGGGGGAACTGGGGGATCATGTGGAGCCCCCTCTGGATCCTGGTTGGATGCTGAGGCCTCTCGTCCGTCAGGATGGTAATTTCGGTGTTGATGGGGGGAGAGGTGCAGAGTCTTCAGTGTGCTTCAGAATAGCCCGTGGGTGGAGCATGGGTGAAACCAGACTGGCCGGGTGCTGAGGCTGGGTGATGGGTTGGGAGGGGGAGATTGAGGTTTCGGGTTAGGGATTAGAGTTAGGGTTTGAAGTCAGGGACTTAGGATGTAGGTTAGGGTTAGGGCTAAGGGACATGGTTAGAATTAGGATTAAGGGACATGATTAGGGTCAGATTTACAGTTACGGGACATGATTTGAGTTAGGGGTTCTTTTTGTATTTGAAGTTCTCCAGAGTGAAAAAAAAAAAAAAAGGAGTGTTTGTGGTCAAAGTGAGGTGCAAGGCAGGTGTGGCACTAGTCAGAGCTCTTGTTGCAAACGACGTATCTGTATGAAGTGGGCAGGTTTCAGGCAAGGCTGGATCCAGGTGCTGTCTGGTGATGAGAGGTTCTCTCCCCAAGCCTCGTGTTTGGGCTATGCTTTCCGCAATGCCAGCTTCATTCTCGTAGGCTGTAGGCGGTGCTAAGACCTGCCAGCTGGAGTCAGAAGCGCCATTTAACCCATTGGCTGGCCTTCTTTGTCATATGACCGTTAAACTAGGATTTGAGGTAACCCACAAATGATAGAAGCCCCACACTGCTAGTGCATGAGACACTAGTCCTAAGACAGAGCGGGGTCAGCCTCCTTGTAGGCTTTGTCTCCTGTAGCCAGCAGGGCCCACTTCTCACAGATGACTCAGGTGTTGTTCTGCACACACCTTCCTGTACTCCCACTAACCAACAACAGATACACAAGTGGGGCTGGCTGGTGTCATGTGTGAGAACAGGAGAAAGACTGTTCCCGCAGGAAGCGGGGGCCTCCTCCCTAGAGACTGGGCCCAAGGCTCTGCTTAGACCACTCAGACAATGCTATAGAGATAGGCAGCCGGTCACCTAGCACTGAGCAGAGGGAGAGTAGGGATCACAGTGTTGGGATGTTACCAGGGAGCAGGAATG